CTTGCGATGGATGAGCGCGAAGCGTCTTTTTTTATCGTCAAGAACGTGTTCCCTTGTGTACGAACAAGAGGCCGAATCGAGACGAGAAGCTGGTAGGTTTTGGCGAGAGGATGGCTACTTGTCCGCAGAGCGATATCGAGACGAGACTAAGCCGTGTCGCTGTCGGCGCGAAAAGGCGCAACGCGGCAAACATGCGCCTGCTCTACAACGTGATAGAACGTAACACTGTCAGCCAACGTATGCGTCCGAGAACCAGCAAGCTCCAGGCTTGTCGCGGCGGTGGGACCAATATCATGGGTCTCTGTTCTTTTTCAGCTGGTCGGCCGTTCTCGCTTTCTTTCGCGACAAACACGCCACCGCGGGGGCAAAAGCTGCAACGCACCAGAAGCGACGAACGCAGCACGAAGAACAACCATTTTCTGCGACACATGTGCGATCTTTTTCCTAACCAGCCAGCAAGCGGTGGGGGGCGCGTAGTGAGGCTGCTGCGCGGCTGCATATTGGGCCGACATCCAACGATGAAAAACTAACTCAAGATCGGCGCATGGGGGTTGCAACCCAAACAAATCATCGGGGGTTGGTTGCGAAAACGACCGGTAGGGCTTTGCATGCAACACAGCCCTCGCACGGGCGTCCCACCTTATGGTAACAGGAATTTTCTTGACTCTGCTGTCAACCATAATGGGAGAAACACATGGGAGACCCTGTGGCATTAACCCGAAAGCGTCATTGATTGTCATTTCTTTCCGTGGAACACACAGCAACTTCGCCTTCACAGCTGCTGAGGGCGGGGAATGGTACAAACATATTATCGTTTTGTAACGTTGAAATACTTCCATACGAGGCGACGACCTTACGATTTCGTTCGACAAGAAAGGGTTGAAACTGCAAGACGCAGTCTCTTTAATATTAACCCCAGTCTATCAACCTAACAATGTAAGGGTCAATCTGGTACACAACAAGCACCCCAACTTGAACCAAAATAAAAAAAAAATACGTTTGTCGTCGTGAACACATATCCGCATGTGGGTGCGTGGGTGGGTTGGCGATCATTGGCCGAAGCTGGTGGGAATTACATGTAAGATACGTCTGCATGATATGAACAAAAAATCCTTGTTTCTTTGAATTTGCAGGTTGGGGCAAACCGCCAGCAAACATGTTATCTCACCTTTTGGGGAGACACGAGCAACCGATCTGAAAGCTATACACCACACCGTGTGTTCCTGTGCGTTCATCATGCGCGCGTCGCCGCAAGCGTAGCTGCACATGCGGGCTAACCTTGTTTGCGAGTGCTGCAGCAGCTGGCGTGCTGCGTTGCCTTCTCCGGCTGTCTGACGCACTACAAGGAAGATCCGGTCCATTGGTGCTTGGTTTTCCGCATTTACCCACCACGCATTGATATTGCCCATCTAGGACATCCCGTGCTCGTACTCCTTCAGAAAACCGTCAAAGTCTTGGAGCTTTGTCTAACGAAGGCTGATACGGCCAGACAACCCATTCACCCACCCCGCTCTGAGCGCGCCGGTTGATGCAGGCAGCAAGCGTTATCGCGTGCTTGTGTCGGTTGCGCTCTCTGCTCTGTCTCAACCTCTCGAATTGGGAAGATCCAGGCTATTGGTGAATTTCACGCTGTGGCATCGGTTATTCGTGCCAGAAAACAGTGCTAGATGGTCGCACCAATCAAGTTGTACGAATGTACCGTATACGACACAAGTTAACACCCCCCCTAGAACCGATTTTCAAGCTCGATTACGCCACGACGAAGAGGGTGCATATACGAAATGAAACGTTTTCGGAAAGCTCTCGACGAGACGGCTTAACGCCGCCGTCTTCGGCGCTGTGACTCTTCCTGCTGATGAGAAATCTAACTTTGAAAATCGGTCCAGGGGGTGTGTTATCTTGTGTCGTATACCTCCCTTTGCGCAGGACTTTCTTGCTCCCCCTCTGTAGATATGTTCAAACCCGTTTATATAATAAGCTATTTTTGGGTTCAAAGCACCTGTACAGAAGACGATGGTGCTTTGCCGCAACCCCCCACCCATGAAATACTGCTGTGAACAACGCTCCTCTCCGAGAGAAGCTTCGAATAGTGTTCTTAAAAGTATTGTCTCGTTCCCTGGACAGGGCAGGTATCAACAGGTAGAGACAGCTGTTAGCTGTCTATGTGCCGTGGGATCAAAATCGTTTCGTTCCAAATAGTCTAAATGCGTCGCGTTGCTTTTGTTCCGAGCGCGAATATATACGGATTGAATTGCCAAGATTGCCGGCACCGTTCGCCGTTCGTTGTTTATGGTACCTCCTACCACTGCTGCTATGCATACACGTGACATCTCCACAGTATAGGTAGTGAAGAATAGTGCTCGCCATACACCACAGGCCAAGAGGAAGAGGACCAGGGTGTGGCGAAACAACATGTTGACACATTTCTATTTCCGCCCCTCTGCCGCCTCGCATATTGTCCTCTCACACCACCACGACGAGCAGCGGGATCCCTTGGCATGAAGAAATTCGGTACAATTCTGTCCTCACTCACCTCCCTTCGATGCTGCCCTGTTGCCGTAGACATCGCAGTCCACCAGCGTCACCGACGATCCTCCCACCGCTGTCACCGCCCCTCCATCAACTCCATATCCCCCCGTGAGGCCAACGCTCTCTAGGTATAGCACAGACAGCTCGGACGCAACGAAGAGGCTGACCTCCCCTCCCCCATTCGCCACGGACTCCTCCTTGCTCTCTCCGGTTATCCTCAGAATCGTCGCGTTCGTCAGCTGCAGCGGTTGGCTGAGACCGATGGTCCCTCGCCAGTACACGTTGAACTCGAGCCCGGGGCATGCGGTCAGGTCTGCACCCAGAGTCAAGGCGTGGTCAGCCGTCGAGACTACGCGGGCGTCTTGTGTTAAGCTGCCGCAGTAGACATCCGCGCTGCTCGAAGCTTGTTGGGCGAGAGCCCCGGAAAGGAAGCCAGTAGAGACGCACAGCAGTAGTCTCAACACCACCAGCACGGCAGTCGCTGCTGCGCCCATGGCTGGTGCCGCTGCCGCTGCTGCTGCTGCTGCCGTCGTCAACCGGCAGTGTGCTACTGACGACGACGGACGTAGCCTAGTCGCCGCTGGGAGCCTACTATGCGTCCATACAGCGGTACCACGCGTGTGCGTTACGTGTGTGTGCGGAGAGTTCACGCCGCTAACTAAAAAGGCAAGTTCCGGCACCACAAGACTGGGCGAGATGGGAGACGGGAATCGCGAAAGCCAACAAGCTGTGTAAGTCGCACATGAATCGTCACGAACTGCCAGAGTTGTAAGTTCAACTCAGATTGCCGAGATTACTCTTGGGAATTGGTTCCAAGCCCGCCGGCTGTCGCAGGGTGGATTGTCTTGTCTGACATGACGAGAAAGCTATAGGAGCGAACGGCTGCAATTGCTCCCATGTGAACACGGCTGTAGCGAGAGGGAGGCACCAGTCAAAAAAGATATCGCCTCTTCATCACTAGTCTATGCCCCATGATGAACTCCTGAGAACAACCGACCATTGCTTATTCTCTTCTGGTTCTGAGCAAAGCAGAGAGAGGGAACCAAAAAAAAGCGTGGACAGTTGTTGCTATGCGTGTTTTCCCCATCCATGCATCTAAGGTGTTCCCCAATTGTCCCTCGCTTATGTAGATGGCCACGCGTACCCCAGGGAGCAAAATGAACAAGTTGCCCCGCAGGAAGACCGTTCCAAAAAATTCTGATTGGAGATTTGTCATCCGTTTTGTTGGATACCACCGCCCATCGCAACCCCACATCGCGCGGCAGGCAGCGCGTTACCCCGAATTGGTGTGGATGATGGGTGTCTACAGTATATGTGCAGTAGTCAAGGCACCCAACAGAGGTCTGGTCTCGTGCTAATGTCGGCCGTCGGCAGGCAGTCTTGATGTTGTGCGGATCACAGCCCGTGCGGAGGGCAGAGGGCACGATGAATGATGACAGAAACATGCACGGCCCGTATGGTGCGACGACTCTCTTGTCTCCTGAAAAGACCGAAAAAAAAATAATGAGATTGTCATGACCCCTCGGTGCCCGCATGCACCACGAAGTGTTGTCAGGAGAAGCACCAGTCGAGGAACAAAGAACAACTATTTGCGGCTCAACAGCAGCAATCGTGCATGCACATTCATGGTGTTGCTTGCTCTATGTCGCCCCGCTGACAACAACAAAGAGCGGTCTCTACTCGCAACATCCAACGGGGAGGGGGTGGGCCGCGTGCCTTTTCGGACAAGAGGCCTCGTCGTCAGTGGTGGAGGTTGAGTGCGCCTTCCGCGGCGGTGTTCATTGGAGAAGGCAGAGAGAGGAAGAGCGGAGCCACTTACTCCTATGATGTGGTACAATAACCTGCGGAAAGCGTATATCCACTCTGTACAGCAGCATATATATGTACACATGTTAAAATAAACACAGATCTTCTCGCCGTTGTTGATTTCACAGTAGACTGGCATGGGCTCCATAGCATCCCCTTGAGGCCTGTCTCAAGCCGGTGGCCCTTCTTCGATATCTGCATATGCATAGACCCCAAGTATAAGTAATGCACTCTGTACTGCATGTAGTGTACTGTACTTGTAGTTCGTGACAATATCCATGTTGAATGTGTAGGTTGAGGTAAATATGTGCCCACATGATCTTAGCGGATCTTATTGATGCAAGGCCAGGAGAACCGAGGTGGTTCTTCACCGGTCGGCGCTGCTGCTGCTGCTGCTGCTGCTGCTGCTGCTGCTTCTATCCCTTGTTCTTCTCCTGCCACGGCGTTAGTCGACGCCGCAACCCGGCCGTGTTCATCTACCGTAAGATTACACTATTGTTCGGAGAAGATACAGAGTGCCGCCGGCATTTACTTGTAGACCATACGAATAATACTGAAATGGTACAGAAAAAGAGCAAAAACACGCTGAGGGCCTGCTTGTTCGTAAACTGCCACTCCCTCCTGCGGCCCGAATGCTTGATGGTCAGACGAGGTACTGCGCAACCCTAAATGGTAGAAAAGCCGTCCGCGGCAGCGGTTCCGGCGAAATCGGCATCTGACAGAACCACCGAATAATCTTCGGACACGTTCAACTCGTGCCCCTCCTGAGCCCCGCCCGTTGGGTTCGACCTCCTTGCTACTACCGCGGCCGACGAGCCCGGCATGAACGTCGCTTGCTGCTCGGGCATCTGGCGCCGCGGCCCCGATGGCGAAACTGGAAAGAAGCTCTCTTTGGCTGCAGGTGCCGCCACCTCCTCCCCCTTGACCTCCTCCCCCTCGTCTGCGTTTTCGGCGTCTCCCCCTGCCGACACTCCCGCGTGCCCGTTATCTTCCCTCCCTGCCCCCGCGTGTCTCCGCCGGGGGTATCCGAAACCGCCTCCATCGCGGCCTCCACCGTCGTTGTTGCTCTCGGCATAGAGCGGGTTGTGTGTGCTCACTTCCTCCCCTCCCCTCCCCTCGCCGTAATCGTCGTCGTCGCCGTCGCCGCCGCCGCCGCCGTCCTTTTCGTTTCCGAGGAGACCGCCTTGGCTTCCGAGGAAGGACCAATCGGTGGCCAAGCTGGCGCGGCTCTCGGCAGGCGCGGGAAACACCGTCTGCCGCTCGTTTTTGTCGGTCTTTCCCTCCCAGCCCATGAAGATGAGCAGCCCTTGGCCGAGAACCACGAGCACCATGCAAGCGTGGGCAACCACAACTACGACGGCGAACACCTGTGTTTTGCATGTCCACGCCGCATGTGCGGTTATTGCTCTCTTTGATTGGTGTTGCAATGATGAAGCGCTTTGGCACAAAACACGAAACACGAAACGAAGACACGCCTATCAATATGGAGAGATGACCAAAGATGAGGGTGGCGAAAAAGGGCACCACTGGGTACAGATCGGCCACACGGATTTATTGTGGTGGGAAAAGGATATCGGGCGGTATGCACCCGACGAGAAATGATGCTCCATGTAATCCCGCCCCTGGTTGCCTGTGAGAGACAAGGTGGCGGCCCGAAGGGCCGAAAAAGCGGTACAGATAGTAGCGCAAAACACACATGCAACAGCGGGCAATTAAAACATCAGGCAACATGAAAGACTCGCTCCATCTCTCTCTTGGCTGCCCGAGAAATGCACTCATGAACCTCTGAAGCGTTGGACGAAATGTCTCTCACCCCTTGGCTCTGATCTCCCTCGTCGGAGACATCCACCCGCAGCAGCAAGGCCAGGTACATACTCGCGAACACCACGTAGTGTCCGGCGCGGTAGAGCCACATCTCGACGGGCCGGGCGAAGGGCGACAGGATCTCGGACACCACCATGAAGACGACCGCGAGGAGCAGAACGATCGCGATCTGTGCGGAGCTGTCGGGGTAGATGAAGACCGCGAAGCCGGTGAGGGCGATACGCCGGAAGCACTCGATCACCTTGTCGTTTGAAGGGGGGGAGGGTCAGATAAACAGAGAGAGAAAGAGAGAGAGAGAGAGAGAGAGAGAGAGAGAGAGAGAGAGAGAGAGAGAGAGAGAGACAGACAGACAGACAGACACACACACACACACACAACGAGAGGCAGCGGAGAAAGAACATGGGTAACCGTAAGAAGGGCGACGGGATGCAAAGCTAGCTGGCACGAGTTGCTTGCGGATGCAGTCCGACCGAACATCAAGGGAAGAACATTGTCTTCGCCACAGGCATGGCGGAGATGGACGCCTGCGTAGCGCTCGGCATGTGCCGTGTAGCGACCGGAGAAAAGCCTACAAATTTCAAAAGTGCGTCCCTGCACTGCGGAACCCTTCTCGTCTACACGCGCGCGGCGGGACACAAGTGAAGCCCGCTCGCTCCCCACAAACCTTCTCGTCCCCACAACCACACGACTGTAGCTACAGAGGAGAAGCCAACACCGGCCAAGCTCGCTGCCCCTCCCTTTGCTGACACTGACGCACTTCTACGGCATAACAAAGCAGGTGCCAAAATGCCACCAAACCTCATGACTTCTACGACAACCGACTAGAGAGCAGACTCACCTCGTAGTAGTACCTCTCCGGCCTGTACGGCCCCCACAGGTCGGCGGCCGGGGTGATCCGGGAGTTGGATCTCCTTCCGACTTCGTCCGCGCGCAGGTCCACCCGGTGACGGAACAGCCACCAGCCGAGTGCGAACGGTATCCCCACGGGGTAAACGAAGGTCATCAACGCGGCGTAGATCTTGAAGCGTTGGTGGATGGGTGAGTCGCCTGCCACACGGCGGTGACGGCGGTGGTGGTGGTGGCGGCGGCGGCGGCATGCGTGTGTTGGCCGGCCCGCAAGCGTATCACCACGCCGACAGCCGGCAAGGAATCGGGAGGGAGACGTGTGTGCGTGTGTACTTTTGATATTGCGTCCCCAAAACTGGAACACCCAAACAACAAGCAACGCCCATTCATTGACCATGTCCTCTTGCGTCGCCCCCCGGAGGCAAGTCACCTAACTCCCGGAATACTAGCATCCACCACGCTAACCGGCTGACCAGCGAAAGTACGCCACTCTCAGGGCGGTTGAAAAACAGAACATTCTAAAGGCCACACGATCTGCGGACCCCGTGAGGGGGAGAGTATGTTATTCTCCGAGGTGTGTGTTTGAGAGAGAGAGAGAGAGAGAGAGAGAGAGAGAGAGAGAGAGAGAGAGAGAGAGAGAGAGAGAGAGAGAGAGAGAGAGAGAGAGAGATTGATTGCAAGCTTCGTCGTACCCCACCCCAAAAAAACACAACCAAAGAAAATAGAACACGCTTGAACCCGCGACTCTCCTGGACGCGTTCCCGAAGGAATGCTTAGTCCAATTCGTCGTGGGAGTCATCTCCGCTGGGAGCTTCGCTGGGAGCTAAACCAGATGCCGAGGTTTACGATCCCTCTCTCGGGGACACAGCTACCGCGAGATTCATTCGCAACGGGGACGACACAAACATGCGGACTTCTCAGGCACTAAAGGGGGAGAACCGCGTACCGACTGAGGCGGACAGATGGCACCCGCACTCCATTGCTCCACAGCCAAGGGGGTGCGGGAAAAGGCAGATAATTCTACGGAAAGCGCTCTCTGAGACGTTTCGAAAACCGCCATTTTTGTGTGGGCACAATCTTGGTCGTGGAGTACATAGTCGAGCCTTGAAATTCAGCCTAGGGGGGGGGTGCCACCTCTCCGCCTCTTACGGGCGCTGTACAAGCACATTACGTGCGGTAGGAGCGACAGAGAGCATGACAAGCTCGGGTGGCTGCAATACGCCACAGGACTCACAGTCCAGGCTGTAGTCGGCCCGCAGGTACGACTTTCCGTCGTCCAGGGTGTCGCAGACGAAGGTGTCGAGGATGGTGTGGGAGACCGTAGGGTAGACCACGAACACCAGCAGCAGGGCCACGGAGAGGTGCCGGTTCTGGATAACGGTTACGACGGCTTCTTCTTCCGACGAAGGGCCGGCTGGTAGTTGTTGTTGTTGTTGTTGTTGTTGCTGCTGCTGCTGCTGCTGCTGCTGCTGCTGCTGCTTTTGCTGTTGCTGTTGTGTTTGTAGAGCGGGCGAGTGCGGTGCACCCCGCTCCCTCGCCAGTGACGCCTCCGCCGCGACGAAGAAAGAGGAAGCGCCGGGGCTGTTGCGGCTGTGGTGGTTGTTGCGCCGAAGGGCCAGGAGGTACGTGCAGCTGAGGACGCCCACCATCACCACCGGGCCGATCGTCGCGATCCCAAAACCTGGGCGTTGTTGTTGCTGTTGCTGTTGAATCTCACGAGATTAATAGTGGTTGTCATTCATCGAAACCCATCTCGGCATGTTTTGACCAAACCACCGGCGCCTTGCTACCGGTACGAGTAACTCGGCAGCAAGCAGGAGCGAGCGTGTTCCTGTCGCTCCTTCTACCACCGATATCCTCGTCGTATGTAGACTACTCGTCTACACAGCCCGCTGGCGGTATGGTCGCCAACTTTACAGAAACACACCAAGCGTTTGGAACTACTCACGGTGGTAGAAGCTGGTTTGGTACACGCACGCGAAGGACAGCACGAACCCCACGTCGAGGTTGACCACGTCGACCGCCGACAGCAGCTGAGAAAGCGGGCTGGGGTACTGGACGTCCGCGACGTCGGAAAACTGTGATCGTGGTTAAGGCAGACGGAGGTGGAGGGAGAGGAGGAGGACGAGGAGGAGGGGAGGTGGGGGGCAGGGAAGCGTGTTACGCGGAAAAGAGAGAAGTGGCGACGGGGGGAGGGGCAAGGGGTAGAGCGAGACGAAGATAACGAGACCTAATGTGGACAAGACGGACAGTCAGACAGACAGGCAGACACAGAGGAAACAATCTAGAAGCAGGTATGGTAGCACACAGACAGAGCAAGCTGGCACACACAAACGAAAATGGAACTCCAACATAGACACCGCTACAAGACTGACATCTTTTCATTGGTCAGCCATGTATCGCGATCGATGCTAATGAGCAAAACACGCACACCTGTGTGACTATCTGCCACATAACCACAACGATCTTGAACGCAGCCAAGGGGAACTTCTGCCACACGCGCTGCTGCCAAGCGCCCACGAGCTGCTGGGTCAACATGCTCGGCTGGTTCTGTCATCACGATAGAGATTCAAAGTTTGCAGTGCAGGGGAGAGCAATGCGGTCGATAGACGGTAAAAGTAGGCGAGAAGAGTGCTTCTTGATGCCATCTCCCACACTACTGACAGTTTTGCTAAACCGCCCATGGGACACCCATGGGACACCCATGGGACGCCCATGGTCACCCATGGGCGGCCCATGAAGTGCCCACCGTGGGCGCTTCAACCGAGAACTTAGCCAACGGCATATCAACCTAGAACTTGGCCACCTGCACATCAACCTAGAACGTAGCCACCAGCGCTCCTAGCACGCATCGTGCGGGCTTGGGGTTAGGGTTAGGGGTAGCGTTGGGGTTATTTACCGCTATAATGCCCGTTCCAGAGCAGATAAGCTCTTGCTTATGAGCACGCTAGTCCCGGTTGAAGGGTCTCATTGGCCGCCCGTGGGCTTCCCATGGGTTGCCAATGGGCCGCCGCCCAGGGCATGCCCTTGGGTCAACCATGGGTCAACCCTCTTGTTGTTCTGGTGAGTCCAAGCCAAAAGTAGGCGTTGATCGGCGGGAGGAACATCGCATGCGTGCATACCATCCGCTCGATGACACGTGGCACATTTGGGGGGGGAAGAGCTTATCCTCCTCTCGAAAATACTTGGAACGCAAGGCGGGCGAGGGGGGTTCCGGGACACGTTCTTCGTTTCTTATGGGCCTGGGCCGGGAGTTGTTCGCAGAAAGAAAATGCGAAAGCGCGAGGTGGGATGTGTTTGCGATGGCAGAAAACACAACGTCGTCCAGACCACAAGGTAGTTTTAAGCTATTTATTTTGTATCCCTTATTCTTTTTCCCTCCGATAAAGATAGCAAGCGATGATACCTTCGCATCCAGCGAGGGCTCGACTACGGACACCAGCCAACCCAGCAGCAGCAACAAGACCACGGCGAACGCTGTAATGGCGATCGCCATTAGAGCGACGGCCCGCCGCTTGCTGTCTCCGACGCAAGACTTGCACACGTGGCGGTAGCCCGGGGCGTAGCTTTCCGTGCACACCGCGCAGTCTAGAATGCGTGTGGGGGGGTAGGGATGAAGGTGGGGGTCGAGCGAAACAAGCAGGTCAAGGAGAGAAAAAGACGTGCAACCGGCAAGATTTTCCTGTCTTTTCTACCAGCAGCTGTTGAAAGGAAAATTAGTCTATGTCTACAGTGCATTGCTCGTGGCTGATTGCCCACAACAGACTCAAGATTGCACGCTCTCGCGCGCATGCGCCCTTATCATGGGCCCCATGTCCGGACAAGATCGGGGTGAGGCGTGCCGGCTAATTTCTCTCCGAGGCCCGGACGAGATATGGCTGCGGTGCAAACCCGGGGTGATACCCAATCAGTTTCAGCATTCACACACCACGGCAACCGGGGTGCGGGAGGGTGCTCCCAAAGAACAGCAATGACTGGACAACGCTGCTGAACCACCCCCAGGACGTATCCCCCTGGTCCGGTGAAAACCCGGCGTGCTCCGTCCCGGCTTTGTACGGATGCGAGGTCAACGGTCTAACGACTACCGCATGTACGGTTCCTGCACCCGGCGCTCACATGGTCCGGTGTAACCGTCGGCACAGTACTCGCTCAGCAGCACCCCGCCCTGACACGCCTTCTCGTTGAAGCACCTTACGATGTCGGTGCTAGTGTTGGACAGGCGGTAGAAGCCCGGCTGTATCACAAGCGTCTCGACGGTCCCACCTGTCCCCCGTTCCCAACAACGTAAGTGGTACGGGTTTCCATTTGGGTTGGCTTGGTTCGGCTCGACTCAGGTCGGTTTTCGCCAAGCGTGAGAATCGTGAGCGAGTGAATGCACGCGCGAGATGTCTCAGAATCTCTATTGTCTGCTGTAAGTGCTGTGAATGAGTGTATACTCACTCCAAGATGCCAACCAGAAGTCGTATCGCATGGAGTGGGGGGCACGCCGTGGCCCCAGACATAGGCCACACCCCCACAATGGGTGGTGATCTGTTGCGACGAAACGAATGAGTGGCCTGAATTTCACAACAGTTCGAGATCTCAATCCATTGCCGCCTCGCAAATCTGGAATTTTCTCGAGAGCCAATGAAAGTGTTTCAAGGTGTATGGTCCCCTGGATTGTTGCCCGACAAGATTCGCTGGCAAGCTTTGTCACTCTTGATTGATGCCCGCAAGGTTCTTCGATTTTTTTCAAGCTTATTTTCGTTTGGTCGCGGCGCACCTCTTGATGGCATGGCCTCTGGATTTGTTGCCCTTTGACAAGCTTTGATACTTTGGTGGCGGCGCACCTCTTGATGGCATGGTCTCTGAACTGTTTCCCGTCAAGGTTCTTACTGTTCAACTTCGGCCAGCTTCATAACTTTGGTCGGGGCGCACATACCTCTCGATGGTATGACGGAACCAAAGGGAGCGGGCTCGCAGCGGGGTACAGACGCCGAGTTCGTCAACGTGGTCCCTGCCTGGAGCTGACTCCCGCAGGCGCCCGCGCACCTAGAGCAGACCTCCGCGAACCGGCATGTGCGGTCATCTCCCTTCACGCGGAAGTGCCGCGTTCGAAAGTACAGACAGATCCGCAACAGCGTGTTGCCAGGACGAGGGAAGCACCGAATGAAATCACGCTAGGCAGTTTCCTGCCTTGCGCATCCATGGAAGGTTTGTGTGTGATATGTTTCACGTACTTGGGAGGCATGTTTCATCATCCCTCTTTCTCTTTCATGGATAACTTGGGGATGCCGGCTTCCGGGTTAATGTTTGGCACGTTTATCGGTAATCATATCTGCCCTGCACGTTGCCTGCGCCAGGAAAGTTTTCCAGGGCGAGTCTCCACCCAACATGGCTCAATGCCGGCGGGTCAGCCATGCGACAACATGATGATGTTCGGGCGGAAGACATGCGGTCGCCGTATAATTGAAGGCCCGGAATATTCCTATCCTGTTGCCCGATGGCCCGCACCGAGAACCAGAATACTACTGTTATCATGCCGGGGGGAAGACCAGGCGGGGGTTCTTTTGACACCCCGCAATATTGAAGCACATGAATAATGCGGCACTTCCCTCCAACAGCTGGCCCCCGCCCGCGCCCACCCACCAATGAAGTCATAAATGAACATGAGCACCATGCGAAAATCACAGTACCAATGGACCGCTTTCGCGAGGGTGCAATCTATGGAATAAAGGTGGGATTTCGTGTCCCTGTCCCTAACCGTAACCCTAACACTATCCCCACTCAGTAGCTCATACAAAAGCTACGCTTGGTATCCTCGCGCAGCCTACTGATGCACATGCTCCGTCTCGTTAAGGATGAGTGATCGTGGTGTCAGCACGCTTATCAGCACCGGTTCCTCCCATTTCATCCGTGTTCCCGACATGTCAACGACAAGGCATAGCTCACCGGAACGATCGAGACTTCGCGGCAATACGTCCCGACCGGGCAATAGAAGCCGTTTTCCTGGAAGGCCACGCCCGTCATGGACTCCACGATGCCGAGGCTGAGCACCGCCGGGCCCTCGTTGCCGGCATCGTTACCCTCGAACACCGTGCTCGACATCTCCGTGATCACTCCGGCGTGTACGAGAGCTCCTCCAGAGGACTCTGCCACGTTGTACACGGATGGGGGGGGGTGTACTCATGGAAACGCATGCCGTAGTCGTTAGATCATAGACCTCGCATCCCTGCAATGCCGGGACGAGGCGTGATGCCGGGTGTTCACGTACCCAGGCTACGTTTCACAAGGATGAACCAGAGGCTGGTCATCATCCTTGCTACTGTCACGGGGGGGGAAGATGTACTCATAATCGTGCATGCCGTAGTCATTTGTGCATTGACCTCGCGTCCTTAGAATACCGGGACGGAGCACGCTGGGTTCTCACCGGACCAGGCTCTCACATCACCAAGCGCGAAGCACCGTGAGGTATTCGGCGAGTCGCATGGATGGTGCACTGCATTCTGCAAAGGGCGTTCGGCATCTGGACCTTACCTCTTTGCAACGGATGACAGCTGCGAAATACTATGATTCTTTGAGGTGCTTCCACTTCCAGGGACAGTTTCGATCACTGTCTAACTGCCTCGAGCGTGCCGGGCCATTATTGACTCAACGCGGTGCTATCATCCATCCCCTTTGCGCGGAGTGAGGGTTGTCGACCCCGCACAACATATTCGACTCGACCACCTTGGGGGGGGGAGGGCTCCATTGGACGTTCTCCCTTTCATACAATGGCCATAGCCTTCCCACATTACCTGCCCTGTTGCCGATGAACGTGCAGTCTCTCACGATGTCGTATTCCGCGATGCTATCTGCGAGGTTCCCGTGGTAGGCAGTTCGGGACGACGAGAAGAAGCGATGCACCAGGAGATAGATGAGGCGGATGCCAGCAACCAGGGAAGCCGAGGGGTGTTCGGACTTCTGAACCGTAGGTCAAATTGGTTACCTTCACCGAGGCCGACGCCTCCAGGACAATAGTAGAACCAACTGAGAGTGAGCAGTACACTCGGGGATTCACTTGGCATCGAAGATAAACATGCGGACTTTTGAGCGGGAAGAGATGCGCGACTGCATTTACACGAATAAAACAATTTCACAAAGACTTCCAAGGTTCCAAGGTAGGATTGTCCTAGTAGTGAAATTTACTACCCTGCTCTCAATCAGAGAACTCGAACTGTGTGTTGGGACCCCGCCCTCTTCATAACTGAGCCCAAGTCTTGCAGCTGTGGGCTCAATCGAGATGCGCGGCCGACGGCTGATGCGATTCCAGGGGCATGGCGAGGAGCGAGGCCACAAACTCCCTGGAGAAGACGGTGTTCGCTGATACTTTGTATGGAACTCACACCATGCGGGATCGGCTGGTATATATTGTTGGGGGGTTCCAATGCACCATCGCCCTGCTTCTTCGCAAACTTTAAGTCTACCCGTGAAGTGCACCATCCAAGATATTTAGGCGTGGTTTACTTCCTACCAGCTAATCTACAGCCACACCCTTCGCTAATTGTAGGTGTGACATTCGTTTCACTCGTGGTAGACCGAAAAGGCACACGTGGTTAGGACCAGTCACTACCACGCCGACCTCTGTATGTTCAGATTGCCGACGACCCCAATTGGGCACGTGAATTTTCATGTATCTTCTTGCATTGGGGTCACAAATGGATGAACCCTGTTCTCCAGAAGCTCATGAAACCACCGGGCAGCCTCACCTGTGCATACATCATTTACTCTAACCGGCCGGGTGCACTCACACATTGCTCCCCCGTCTTCCAAGGCTAAGTTGTCCTCGAAATGGCAACCCAAGAACTCCACGGGAGTTGCCACGACCTCTGTGGTAGATGTCGTAGATGACGAGCTTAACGACAAAAAACGGCGTCGTCGAGCGAGCAAAATGTGCCGTGGAGAGAGCAGAAACGGGGGATCCAGTTTGAGTATGGAGGTGGGTCGAGTTGTGATATGGATGCGGCGGAGTGAATGGGAGGGGGTGTTTGCGTTGTGTTTACGGGATGGTGTGCATTGGATTGATTAACTCAAACCAGTTGTATCTTGGAGTACGTCTGGCGTTTGTCCACCGCGCGGTGAAGGAGGAACGTGCGTGAGCACGCCGAGTAGTCATTCGCGGATGCTAGATACATCGCACGAATGATTTTTGAAACAAACCTTCTGCGCCAAAAATAGCTCGGGCAGCGCAATGATAGGTTACACACACGGCACATCTGACGCATGTCGAAAGGGGCACAGAACTATGAGGTGGAAGAGCAGCACGCAGCGATGATCTCCTTCCAAGGCTTGTGTGTTTGACATGCTGGAGCATTTCACTCCGAGAACACCCCATCAACAACGGTGCGTTGGGAGGGGATACCTAACACTCTGGAGAGCGTCGAATAGGGCACACAATTCCTGCTGAGCTTGTTTGATTTAGTGCTCTTGGTTACAGGTGGTTCGACGTTTTGTTCCTACAGCTTTCGCGGCATCATATAAGCAATATTTGTTCAACTGTGACAATTTTAAATTCATGTATTCAGAACGTATGTGTCCACACTTGCAAACTTGCCGAGGAAAAATCTGTCGGTAAAACTCAGACCGTGGGTCCACCCTTGCCGTTTACACACGGCCTCAAATGCCCTCTAGATATTGCCGACTCTGCAAGATGTTGCAGATCTGGCGCGGTACCTTCCCCACGTCGCGGTGGCATTTGTGTTTTCGGGTCAGTGTGTGCCTTCCTGATACAGTCCTCAAGGACATGCGGTCGGGGCGTACTGGTATGGCTCGAGGGTCCCCTGCCTGATGTTAAGCTGATTTTACCTGGAGGTGATCTCATCGATTGCTGCGGGGTCACTTTCGCTGCTAGACACCGGCGCTGTGCCTGAAGAAAACGTCGCAACTGCTCCACCCAGCATGGCGACCTTAGGTGTTCATAGCCGCAAAACACGGCAGATACGAGACAGATTATGAGTGAAAAACAGCCAGCCAGCCAGCAACAGTTAGTGTTGAAGTGTGATTCCGAACAAACTGCAGAAAATCGACTTGCCCCCCCACACAGAAAGTAGGTTCGGAAAATAGTATCGCCACCGTTGACAGTATGTGAGCACGAATATACCCAAATGAATATTGAGCCCAAATGTATTGCAGTACATCAGACACAGAAACGCGATGAGACTTGAAATGAACGCGGAGTCTATGAAATGAGACTTGAAATGAACGCGGAGTCTATGAACGCGGAGTCTTTGATGGGGAATAACTTCGCGTTGAAGAGATTAATGTTGTCTACAGTATTTTGTACTGCTTGTGAAGTATAGCGTGTCTTCATTCTCACATTCCGGAAGAAGACCACATCCTTTATCCTCAGCCGGGAGACGCTCCCGACGTAAATGGCGCCACCCGAACCTTCCAAGGCATTGTTGTACCAAAAATCAAAATTCTTCCCTTTGAACTTGACCATGGCGTTAACCAAGTAGACAGCACCTGAGAGAATGTGAAGGAAGCACGGAGGATGTAAGAATGGAGGAGACGAGGGGGGGCCGGGGGGGGGGACAAATAGATACGGCTTGAAAATATACCGATTGTACATAATACATAGCCCAAACCGGACAAACTGTTCCAAGTTATTGTGGATCCCTTGATTGCGCCTTGCCGGCTGATTGTGTGAATGTCGGAAGGGGTTTGAGAAACCAATGAAGAGCGATTGTTCTGCTTTCATCAAAGAATGGTTCCGGGAATGGCATCGATTTCCAGTAGAAAAAACTAGGGAGTAAAAAACAATAGACTGCTTGCTGCCTGGAAGCACTCATCCACCCTCTGGCAAAAGACCCAGCCGCAAGCAGGAATCGGCATTCAGCCTCGCATGCTCCTGTTTTTGTCACCGTCATTGTTGGCGACCTCACGCGGTCTCGGTGAACATTCATTCATGCGTGCCTCTCTTGGAGTCAGCCAGGAAAGTTACTGTAAACCCACCGGGACATTCATCAAAGAGAATTGACTCTGAATGGTCGGAACGTAAAATACCACGAGCCACGACCTTGTTACAACTAAAGGATTGATGACCCCTCTACTGTCGAAAAGCAACCAAGACATGACCGCAGACGAGGTCCCATCTACGTGACCCATCCCATCTGTGTGACCCCATCGGGTGCGTACAGAAAACTAGAGGCACAAAAAAAACGAAGAAGTTCTGTTAGTGGATTGGACGGCAAGCGAAAGGTTGGTGCCTGACCTCCGTCATAAGAAGCGGTGTTGTTGGTGAGGATCAGGTCCCCGCCCAGCGATGCGGATGCCTCTTGCCGTCCGTGAATGGCCCCTGGCGTGTTCACCGAGTACGGGAAGGATTGTCAGTAGCTTTTGCGAGCATGTTATGCTTGGGTTCCGTAGGGGGTACGGGATTGGGTTGGGGGTTAGGGTTAGGGATAGGGATACGAAATGCCCTCTGTCGAATCTCATTGGTTAACAGTAAAGTCCTCTCGAAGGAGGTCCAGGGTTTACCCAAAAGGAAAGCGTTTTGAACGTGGGAAGGCGGCCAGGGTGGTCATTTCGGGCGCTCTCGCCCGTGAAGCGCCTACACCGAAGTTTTTTTATGCCAATGGTATACTGTCAGCTGTTCTAGGTGTCTGCGACCAATGCTTTACCAACAATATTCACTATATTCTCACCGTGACACACCGTTGTTGTGAAATACCAAGGCAGGCTTCAACCCTTCAAGGGATTCGTGGCGTGTGGCACCTTAAAAGAAGCACGCGCGGCTCTACTGAAGCCCTGCCGTTGGTACGAAGATCCTCAAGAACGTCGTGGGATCGGTTTGCTCGCAATGGATTCGTGTGCGCGCCACATGCGTAGGTACGTTACAGACGGAGCTAGAGTGAGCGTTCACTAGCGGTACTAACCTCAACAAGAGTATTCTCAACGGGACTCACCGCCGAACTGTGCCCTGTTACCGACGAAGCGAGAGTTCCCTGTCGTCTTGAGTTTGGCTCTGTCGGACGCGTGTATTGCTCCTGTTCAAACGACGCCACGCGCTGTGGAAATGAGCGAACGACCGCAAGTCATTCTTGAACGCATCCGGGTGGAAGTCCCGCAGCATTTTCCCCCAACCCATATCCCTGGCGTGGGCTTTACACCACGGCTATGTTCCGTCCAAGGGAAAAAACGCGATTTGATTCGAAGGCCCTCTTCGGAGGTTGGTCTGACTCATCTGCGTTTGTGGTTCAATTCATACTGTACGTCTTGATTGTTTCGCGTAAGTGGTGCCGCAGCGGTCGTTGTCGTTGTCTTCGTTGTTAGTCGGTTGTTGTTGTTGTTGTTGTTGTTGTTGTTGTTGTTGTTTGGTAGTGGTGGTGGTAGTGGTGGTGGTGGTGGTGTCTTGCATGGTGATTTCCGAGTGAAATTGTTCTTGCTTCACCTCCGTTACTTCCTGCCACGTTCTCATCGAAGACCACGTCGTCCATGAGATACACGTAGCTTTCTTCCATCGCCTGAATGCCCCCTGCAGGCGCAAGCACGAGCGCCGAAAAAAGGTTTCGAGTGAAATCACTTCGTGATAATAAAAAGCACGTTGTTGTTGGTACTTCCACAAATTCACAGGACACCTGCAAGGCGTTAACGTATTTCACATACTTATTATTACGGCGATCGGACATTCCGGGGGCAGCGTTTCGCGAATGATGCCATTGTGATTGAAACGAAACGCCGAGTCAGTCGGCTCACGCTTCTGGAGCAAGGTCCACGCCTCGGCAGCGTGTTCCTTGTCGGGGACTGCCCTCAAGTTTCTCTCCCATCATGCGTCGAAGAAGGCCGTTTGTCGCCGATGGGGGAGACAAACCCCGGGGTTAAGAGATAATGGGGGGGCATTCATCCTTTCCTTGTGATACGTTGGGCTATTGGTACACACTATTATCAGAGGGTCGACGCGGTATGGACATAATACATGGAGCTGTGTAACATCGAGATAGTGCCATGAGATTGCTCGAGAAAACGCCCCCCAGGCCGAAGTCTTGCCCCCTTCTGTGGATTACCCGCCGCTGTCATGGCAATGGAATTGAGTGTGTGCGTGTCCTCATGATCGTCCATGCCGTAGTCATTAGATCATTGGACTCCCATCCCTACAACGCCGGGACGGAGCTCGCCGGGATCTCACCGGACCAGGTTCTCACATAACAAGGCGGGAAGAGTCGTGAGGTATTCGACGAGCCGCACGAACGGTGCGCTGCATCCTGCTAAGGATGTCCGGCATCTTGTGCTTACTTCCTTGCATACGGATGACAGCTGCGCATGACTTAATTTATTTTCTGGTGCTTTCACTTCCAGAGACAGTTAGTGTAAGCACTGTGTAACTGCTTCAAGGGTGCTTGACCGACTTAACGCAACGTTGTACAGGCATCCCCTTTCCGCGCAGTGAGCGTTCTCGACCCCGCACAACATGGTGTTCCCGACCAACATAATGGCTACCGAAAAGAGAACAAACGAAAAAATAGCGGTAACCTGGTTGTCGGGCTCACAAAGCGACCGGCGTTTTTGTTCAACGCCGTTGCCAAGTGACCAAAACCAAACCCGAAAACTCCTCAGGGTGTCCTTAATGTTGCTCCTCTCGATTCTAAGTGTCTGCCCGCTTAATATCGATGTTCTATTCGTCTCCATTGCTCCTGTTAGGTCCTCCATCCGAAACTATATTGTAATGAATATAGACCTGTGGTGACTCTTGGACCTTTCAGACTGAACTGGACAATTACTCGCAACCAAAGGGCAAAATCCTCGGCGCGGACATTTACTACTGTCAGCACTGCCTGAAGCGACAAAAAATCTGCGCATGTTCTACGTAGTTTCGTCCTTTAACGACGTATAAATTTAGGTTAGGCTCAAAGTCGTTGGAAGCGTCGCAACAAGAAACCCCCGAAACCGCTGCGACAGCTCTCACTCGAAACCTTTAGCGAACCGTGTACCTGCAGTCTACACGGTGAAACTAGAGAAAAAACATGCACAAGTAACCACCATCAACGCGTGTCACACCTTCACCACCACCAATCGGCGCACAGCAGGATCCGAGCACCTACCTCCGTGGTGCTCGGCAGTGTTCCTCGAAAACGTCGTGTTTCCCGCCACCCGAAGGCCTGACCTCTCGCACACCATGATAGCGCCTGCTGTCCGAAGGCCGGGGGCGAGCTTCAACGCTATGTTTGGGTACACTGCTGGCAATTTTCCGGAATCGTTTCGTTGATTGTGTGCTGGCCCCCTACTCGACGTTGAGGTACGCCCGTGACCGGCCACCTAACTCCGAAATCTCTTATAGCTTGGGTCACCGTACCCTACTCGGCGTCTGGGTATGTTGGCGTCCCTAGCTATTGCTGCCGCGAGGGGGGCAGGAAGCGTTGCCGGCTGAAGACGGGCGTTAATGACTACATCGCGAAGCAGTACCGAAATCAAGAAACAAAAGGGAGGTGCCCCCTGGGTGTAGAATATTTCCATCGGGGGGTTCAGAATCCAGCACGATCATCGTTGATACCCCTGTTTCTTTATTGTGATATTTCGGAAAGGTTCTTGTGGAACTGCCCAGCCCGTGTGATAATTACCACGAGGCAAAGCATCCCGTGAACCATGTGGTTCGTACTATTTATCGGGGAACGGCGGCACGGGTGGTGGGTGGTACAAGGCGAACCGCCGCTATCCGCGGTAAGCGCATACCTTGTGTTTGGAAAAGAGTGCGGCCGAAATGACCAAACTTTCAAATGACCATACTTTCGATTGTAGTCAGCGTCACCGTCCGAACTGGCACCTTAGACGTATTTTTCAGCACGTCTCAAACGACGAGACTCTTACCGCCGTGGTGTTTGGATTCGTTGTCGACGAACGAAGTGAATCCATCGTTGGTCGTTACCGTTGAACCCCGTCGGGCGTAGATCGCACCTGGATTGGAAAAAAAAAGGACAGAGAAGACGAACAGGCTTGAGAAGGCTCCTGGCGTGTGTGGACTGCAGGTGGTGGGATAGGATATTCCACAGGCCGAGACAACATATGAACTACGCCAGAAACAGCGGGGGGGGGGGGCTACGTAGATCGTAGCATTTCGATCCACGGCACAACCTACAGTAGACAACAAACTCATAATTTGATACTCGGCGGCCACTGCAGCTGCTTTGGTTGGCCCTCTGCTGGCTTAGCGCACGTGACACACAAGCTGCACAGAAAAACACGCTCACAAGCAATGGAATCAACAACACTGACAGCACACCTCCGTCGGCTTTGGCCTTGTTGCCGGCGAACGTCACAGATCCGTTGATGTCGACTTGGCTGCTGTCCTCGACAAAGATGGCACCTGTAATTGTGTTTGTCGTGGTCGTCGTCATCGTGGTCGTGGTCGTCGTTTTTGTTGTTGTTGTAGTTGTTGTAGTGTTGTTGTTGTTGTTGTTGTTGTTGTTGGTGGTGGTGGTGGTGGTGGTGTTGTTGTTGGTGTTGTTGTTGTTGTTGTTGTCGTTGTTGTTCTTATTGTTGTCGCAGTTGCAGTTGTTTTCGTTATTTTTGTTGTTTTTGACGAAATCGCCGAAATCCTACCAACAACAGGTGGTTCCGTCAGGACTTCAAAGCCTCTCGGTTTTCGTGCGCGCGCTGACTTTGCGCCCCGATCAGAAATCAACATTCGGCGGCCGAAGCGAAGGGAAATGGTGACCGTCTTGCCCACGCACTCACTCACCTCCAGATTTTGCTGCGTTTTCCCGAAAAACGTTGTCGAAGCTGCCCTCTTCTGTTGTCACCGTAGAGTTAACGGAGACGAACACCGCGCCTGCCCGGTGCGGCACGAGCACAAATTACAATCCGCCGCGAAGAAGAGGAAGGGTGGAGTATTATTCTCGGGTTCATGGGGGCTATCCTTAGAGGTGTTGTTCTCCACCGTTGCGCACTGCAGCAACGCGTTTCACACAAGAATGAATCGAAGTACCGCAGTCCCGCTCTTCCTCCTACGCGATTGTTCTAAGGCACGAAAACTTGCCTCCATACTTGTCCGCGCTGTTGTCTACGAAGCCGGTCCCGCCAGTGACGAGCCGAGACTCTTGAAGGAAAATCGCACCTGAAGTTTGTTTCGCAGCGAGAAACGCACGTGGTAAAAATGAGGAATGTTTTCGGTCGTGATGATCTTCCTGCGGGTCCTCCTGCGCCAGCCGACGATTCCGACTGCTAGTGCTGGTGCTGGTGCTGGTGCTGGTGCTGCTGGTGCTTCGACTGTGCACATGCTCAAACGGGAGTCCTTAAATGCGGGGAAGCTCGCGTGGACGGACTGATATGAAAGGCGAATGGGCACGCGCCCTACAGAAGTAGAGACTCGCCCCCCCCCCCCCCCCCCCTGCTCGACCGCTTTCCACGTCAGCCCATTTGTTCTAAACCATGTTCGCGGAAAAACGGTCCAAAATCGTGTTCCGGAAGTACAGCGTGTAGGTGGATGCGAATGTAGCGACGGTAATGCATACCTCCGGAGAATTGTTTGCTGTTTCGCTTCAAAGCAAGCTGCTGTGCATTGGTGCCTTCCGTTCGGGTCAAGAGAAATAGTTTGTACATAATTGTCTGGCGCATCTTAATTTTCTTATGAACGCCTGAATGTAGGCCGCGCGTTCTCTACGTGCAAAGAGAGACGCTCAAGGACCTTCGGAACTCGTGCAAGACGTGAATAATTGGCCACACCCCCAACCCGCTCATCAACCGGACCGATTCCGACACGATAAACTCCCGCTTCCTTCCGTCTGGTAGGCACGAGAAGGTAGTTGGCGGCTACGGCGATGCATGCTTTGCGCTTTGCGGGTACAAAAGTCTCTCGCTCAACCCCTCTCACCTCCCACGTTGGACACGGCATTCCCATACACCTCGCAGTCGATCAGCGTAACCGAAGCGTTCTGGTAAGCTGCCACGACCCCCCCGCGCAGCCCCCCTCCACCCGTCAGAGACACGCCTTCTAACCACAGCGACGACTGGGAATCTTCCACGAAGAACATCGGGGTAGACAAGGACCCGTCCCCATCCACGACGTTCGCGCCATCAAAGGTAGCCGAGCCCTGTCGGCAACAGGACAGTGGCGAGTTGTGTAGAGAGGGCGTCACGCTTTCGGAGCTGGCCTTCAGAACGACCGTTCGCTTAGGGAAGGATATCGGTGCAGTGTTTTCTTCGGAATCCGCCACAGAAGTAACCCTCTCTGAGATCTCTCGAAGACCCCATCCCAATTACCAGTAACCCCACACGTGAAGGTTAAGCCCAAACTCTGAACGAAGCCAGTGCCGCGTGATGGTTGTTATCGATGCACACCGTAACCGAAGGAACCGCCGCCAATATGATATCCTGACGTAGTTTTCATTGACGCTTTCCAGAGCGGCAAACATCATCCGTCAACACCAACCAACGGGTAAAGATAGGCTTACTCGACGATGTGGTGATCTGCCGTGCGATCCGGTCGCCGAACACTATAACGCCTGGTCGACATGGCCTACGCAACTTTTTAATCGTAAGGCTCGACATGTTCTTCTCATCTCCAACTATTCGCAGAATGATGAGGTTGTTCTTCAAGCACAACAGCACACACTCAGATTCCAACTTCGGCATTTGAGCCTTATCCCCTAGCACAAGGCAAGACTCCACGTGTCAATGTCAGCTTGTTCGAGTTGTACTCCACCCCGGGATCACGTTGTAGGTATATGCACAACCCTACAACCCTCTTGGGAGACGACGTTCAATCTTGACATACCGTGATCTTGAGTGACGTGCCGGCCACAACGTCCAGCGGCTGCGTGATCCGGACATGGCCCATCCACTCGACCTCGAAGCTCGCCCCTGGGCAGTCCAGAATATCTTCCCCGAGGAGGGTAGCTTCGTCGGTGTTCGAGACCACCCGCCATACTACGCAAACGGGGTCGATTGTGACCACCGTGGTGTCATTGCTGCTGGTCGTCGTGTCGTTGCTGCTAGTTGTGGTGTTGCTGCTGCTGCTGCCTGTGGTGTCGTTGACGCCATTTGTGGCGGTGCTGTCAATGAGGCCGCCGCTGCTTCTGCTCCCTCGTTGGCTGTACGTACCCGGTGGCGCCACCAGAAGAAAGAAGAGAAGGACGTGCAAGAGGAGAGGATGCATCCAGCGAGGGTGTCCGCGATGGACTCTCGCCTCGATGCTGCCGGAACGGTGTCGCAGCAGCACCATCAATAATCACTTTTGAGGGAGGACCCACGGGTCGAAAAACCGTGAAGATGTCGGACAAGATTGGTCAACCGCCAGTTAGGACCAGGAGCTTTGATCGTTTGGCGACGGCCCTGGGGTCGTCTGCTGACCGCGTGCACACGTTTTGCTACCGCTAATGGGTCGTGCGGTAATTGAGAGTTGGTCTTCCTGTTTGCAGACAATCTACGGCAGCATACAGTGCATAGTGCAACTTTTAGGTTTGGATGAGTCAACACGGATGGCATGTACCAGATCAGACCAGACGACATGCGTCTGGCCTGACACGTGCTGTCGAAGAGGAACTACTGTACACGGCGTTCAGATAGCAAGATTTCTCTCCAGGAAAGGGTGGCAAAAAGGCAACTACAGTACATCGGCAGAGGCAGAGGCACGACCGTTGTATGCTTACTGGTATGCATAAGACACAGTTCGGTCATCTAAGGGATCAATCCATCGAGGGATAAAATCCGACGATGGTTGGTTTCGTACAAATCCAACTACAAGTACTGTTGTACACATCCTGACTGCACCCAGGGGAACACACATCCTGACTACCAGGGGAACACGGAAGCACTCCTCCCACTATCCATCGTCACCTGAACGGCAGCGATGGTGTGTGTGGTGATCGCGGCCCTGCAGATATGCGGTGCGGTTTCCACCCAATAGGTTCCCCCGAACAAAAATGCAGGCCTGATGGCTGTGGTGGTCTGCACCCACCCTTTGCTGCAGCTTTGATGTGGGAGCTCAGAGCTCCGCTGCTGCTGCTGGTGGTGCTGCTGCCGCCGCGGCTGCTGCCCCGAGCTGTCAACAAGCCGCAGCAGGTTCTTGATCACCAAGGAAGATCACGGTTCCTAGAAACCCTCGCTCTCGCGCGCGGGAGGGTGAGGGGCGGTGCTCACGAACGAAATGACACATGTGGGAGATGTGATGTACATACAGATGGAGTTTTTTCGGATCTTCAACGCGATTCGGAATTTTCGTAGATCTTGAAGAAGGCGGAGAGACTTTCAAAAAGAAGGGACGGCGATTGGTTGGGTTGTTTTTTTCCCTCTCCCTCCGGTGCTGCTTGCTGTGTGTGTGTACAGGTATGTACCCCACCACCCACGCTGTAGTTGTTCGGCGACGACGAGGGTGGCGCGTTTGATGGAATGTAAAGTTTATCTTTGCCATAGAGGGGGCGGGTTAGCGGAGCGGCGGAGTATTACGAGCTGATATAAAAAAAAACTCTGACGCCCCCCGCCGCCGTCTTCATCTTTGTGGTACAGCAGTGCACACACACGCGGGAAGGAGAGCGATATTGTAGGGAGGGGGAGATAATGCGACGATGGTGTGTCTGGCGGCTAGGAGAGCTGCTGCTGCTTCTCCTGCCTTCTTACGCTTGGTGGAGGCCAGGACCAGGGGTCAACTGGGACGTGAGTGCGCCAGCAGCAGCAGAGCCGCATGTTGTGGTACGAAGCTTGATTACCTAACATGGTTGTCTGGCTCTGTTCCCTTGTTTGAGCAACACATAACTTCCGTAGGTAGTGTGCTCCCTACCAAGGGCATCTGAGCGGCAATTATTATGTAGAACCAGCAGAGTTAGGGCACAGACGGGAGACAAGACAGGGGTTCGCTGCGCCTCGGCTTGACTCGCTCTCTTGATGGTCGAACTCCTCCCTGTACACACTCCTCTTCTAAAGCACTGTATCGTACCGTCCGTGGAATCCTGTCTTTTATTTTTTGAACTCAAACAAGTTGGCCAGCAAACTGCTGTCTGAAGCTGAGCCTGTTACCCACGGGACATACGCCATTGTTTGCTGCTCGGCGAAAGCTTTAGAAGCACAGGCAGCCCATCTCAACATGGCTTCGTCGTTGCTACTCTTTCCCCTGGACTCCCTGGGACAAGAGTTACAGTAAAATGAGCCCGTCCGTTTCCGTGCAAAAAAAAAAAAAACATCATACGGGCCATATGTTTGCGTCACACAGCAGTGATGACGGTGGACTTTGCGGCGAAACCAACAAGGCAACTCCGAAGAATTACGAGACATGTTCGTTGCAGAGTAAGGCCAGACTTTGTTGAACCACCCCCCTTCAAGGCTCTAAAAACAGGTGGTATACCGCGGTGCACGCAGCAATATCCCGGTGGTTTTGCCGTCAACCGTCAAAAAGTGTCCGCAACCAACAACATCCCGAAGTTTTAGTGCGGCACACACCGTTGTTGTGGTGTACCAAAGATTAAGATTTTTGTCGTCGTTGCGGCGTGCCTTGTGGCAGGTATGTGTGTCACCGCAGCTACAGTAGTAGGCAATGGACGCAGCCCGCCTCACACATGGGGTACAACGTAAGTACTTCATGAAAGTCGGTCCCTCATATATATCTGCATGTCACACGTCTTTCCCGAAAACCACAAAAAACCAAGTACGATTCCATTATCGTATATTGCATACACAAGAACAGCACCATTTTTTTTCTAGGCATCCCGTTTATGTTTGTTCTTGCCGGCGGGCCTTTCGCCTTTCGGTTAATTCTGGACGAACCACCCCGAGTCACGCAGGAATGTGCGAGACCCCGGCTTATAGAACAGCTTAGAAATGAGCAGCCCCTGGTCTCATCGCCTCTGTCTGGTGATGTCCCTTCCGGTCCAGGGAATGCTTGTATTTTTTCTGTCTTCATCCATCTCCTAGATACATGGGCAATGAATCGAAACGTCAACTCAACGGAAGCTACAGCAGCAGTACCTGCCTTTCCAATTTCCCGAGCAGCGTGCAGCTTTTTTTTTTGTTCGTTCTACATACACCCAATGAATTTCTCTGAGAACCGCCGTTGTTACTGCGGATTGAACCATGAATTCTAGTGCCTGCCGCAAAAAGAATAGTACTGCAGTGACTGGTGATTATGTATCGACTGCTGCATGTTCAGTGCCCATGGGTATTTCAATGCGTACTGCTGTACATGCACACGCCGACGTGCAGGTAAACTTTCTTACGCACAGACCCCTTTTGTTACATAGCCGTTCTTCCGTCTCTTCCCCGTAAAGGTTGAAATAACATACCCACCCCGCTTGGTTGAACGCTTCCAATGCACGACTGGCCCACGTTCGGGCGGGGGGGGGGATGCCAACAAGGATAAGGATGGTTGTCTGCAGCACTTCCTTTAGGTGTTCAGATCTGTTGCGACCATGCAAAAACTGAAACAGATCACCATCACTGCTGTGTACCACTCGCGGAAACGATCTTGAGAACACTCCTCTTTCGGTTATTATTTTCTTCGCCTGATCCTAGATTTTGGCACCCGCCCTCCCGGACAACCAAAGTCATGACAGAAAGAGGCAGAGAAATGACACCCCCCCCCTCGACCAAATTTCGTAGCTCGATTACTCCACAACCAAGGCAACTCCGAAGAATCACGAGACAAGGGTCTGCGTACCCACTCCCTGTTCTATTTACGGTAGCAGTCCCGGTATAATGCCCGTGCGGTCCAGCCGACTTCACCGGCATTGTAGCGGGCCATCGGCATTGTATCCAAGTTCGGCCCGGATAGTGCCAGTTCCGGCGTTATTCAGGTTCCGAAATTTCCGCTACAAATGTTGTTGTTGCTGTTGTCTTCATTTAAGATGGTGTCGGTTGCTAATCCCAAAATCTAGCGAAGACTCGGTCCGTGGTCACAAAAATGCTATTTAGAGCCTTCAGAAGATATATAGAGCACGTAAACAAGCAAGAAAAGGGTACCCAAGCCCATGCCGGTACCGAAACTAGTCAGGAAATCATCGAGTTGTTCAGGACGAAAACGTGATCATACGCCAACGTATCGTATGCCACAAGCGTCACGAGATGGGGAAGAAAAAGTGGATGCCGAGTCAGGAGGTTTGGTAAGCATGCGGCGGCCGAGCACCATTCAGGGGCGCGTGCATCGATGGGCCGTATCTCGTCACTCAATGCATCTGTGGGTCTGCTGCACTCTTGTTTTGTAGTGCACAAACCTCAAGTTGGTCATTCTCGCCCGATGCCATCCCTTGACTCGCAAAACATACCCACGATATATATCGTAACGCAAACATCGGACGAGGGAAGTAGATTCATAGCTCCCGAGAAGGGCAATACAATGCCGCACGTCTGCCCCGAGTAACCCGTGGAGTTTCATAGGTTTCGGCAAGGCTTTGTGTGTGGGAGTTCTGGTCGTGCTCGTACCAGATATGTCACCAGAGAAAAACATGTATTATTTCTCCTTTTCTCGTCTTCTCCTCACTCGCGGCGAGTTTTCTCCGTGACGAAACGCCGGTGCAGCCGTGTGTCTCAACAAAATGACTCTCCACCGCACATTTGGGGTCCAACACTAGTCTAGTTGGCCGACGGGCAAACGAAAGATAGTTTAGCTCTCAAGAGCCAGCGTGAAAAGAGGACTAGCCGCACACTCGCTTAGAACCATCGCCTGCCGTCGAAGGTTGTCGCTGTGGTGCCATACTCGTGTGCAAATCCTCGTCATAACCACAAGGCAAGAGTTTTTAGCGGGGATTTTGATGGGAATCGATTGTGGTCCGCATGTTGGCATACGACGATTCTCACAGGCATCAGCTTATACACCGTGTTGGCGCACGCACGCATGTAGAAGATGGCTTGCCGCGGTGCGTTGGTTGGCCCATCACAGATCTCCCGATCGGGGAGGGGGTACCCATAGTCGTGCATGCCGTAGTCGTTAGACCATTTACCTCACATCCCTGCAAAGCCGGGACGGAGCACGCCGGGTTCTCACCGGACCAGGCTCTCACATCACCAAACGCGAAGCGCCGTGAGGTTTTGGGCGAGTCGCATGAAGGGTGCGCTGCATCCTGCTAAGGGTGTTCGGCATCTTGTGCTTACTTCCTTGCGTACGGATTACAGCTGCGAATTTCTTACTTTGATTTCTGGTGCTTTCACTTCCAGAGACAGTTATAAGCACTGTGTACCTGCCTCGAGGGTGCTTGGCCAATTTAACACACAACGTGGTGCGATCATCCCCTTCGCGCGGAGTGAGGATTCTCGATCCCGCACAACATAATCTACTCGACCACCATTCATTATGGTTACCGCAAAAAACAAATATAGGGGGGAAAAAAGCGGTATCCTGGTTGCCGAGCTCACGAAGTGATCGGCCTGTTTTACAACGTCGTGGCTAAGCGACGAAAACCCAAACCCTGATGGCAAACACTGGCGGGTTATGTGCGTGGGGGGGAATTTGTAAGGGAAGTGTGTGTGGTTTCAGGTAGATCCGCCAAGCAACCCTTATCTCACGATCTAAAAAATACTTCGTACCACCTAGGATACATATGTGTACGTGCATTTTTGCAGCGGGATCCAAGAGCTCCACCCTCTGGGGCAAGACCCGACAGAGGTATATTGGCATCGTTAACGTAATTCCTAAAATTGCAGACGAAGAGAATAGTTGTCTTTTCTTCGTCGTTATTGGAAAAGAAAAGGACGAGGGCTCGCTCTTCTCGCGCCCTCCCTTTTCGCGCGGTCATGAAAGATGACAACACGCTGCCAATAAACGACGGCCTGCCAAATTAGACGCTTGGCATCAACAAAAGCGTCAGATTGTGTCGTTCGGCGAGAACGCCGGTCAAGCTAGACGTTTCTGACGGGAGTGTCATCTGGCGATACCAGGTGGGGTGGGTGGGGGGGGATGGCATGGTGCACTCTATTGGTGACAGGAGGGCGGCTTGTCCGCAAGTACAGAGCTGTTTGATTGGCTGTGCTTGGCTCCGGAAGTGACCCAACCGCTGGGTGTGAACATCGAAGGGTTGGCGGCACCCAGCAAGCATTCGTGCGATCTCTTCTTAAAGTCGTGTCCGTTCATCCATGCGTCCCTGCCCCCCAAAAGCCAAACGTTGGAACACAATCATGATTGCATCGCATCGAACAAACCCCCTCTCTTTGTTCCGTCGGGATTGGTTTCTCTGGAAGGCGTAGCTGCCCGCCCGTGGGCGCGTGAGAGAGAACAAAAACGCACGACACAGATGCGACCACAACAACCATTTGCGGGACACCAAGCGAGAAGAGACGGACCCTTGCTCCCGTCCACACTCTTGTCATTTTCGTTTGCGTGTACCCTCCTTTGATGACGCGTAGTCGATGGGTTAGCAGCTGAGGCATGCAATACACAATACATGACTACGCCCTCCCCTCCGCCCGCTCGCACGTCCTTTCGTCTGTTGTCGCAGTGGAGACTTTCTGGTAGTACTCCAAGGGCTAGCGCGGGAGTGGACGTTTTCGACCTCGATCTGTTCGGCAAGTATCCCACCTGTTCCCAAGAGTATATCGCTCTATTCGTTTGCGGCTGAAAAACGTTTTTTTGAGGTTCTGTGGATGCCGTCCACCGCGGCATCAACCTTTTATGATTCGACAATGCCTTGTCTCTGTCGATTCTGCCTGTGTAGACAATCTCGACCCATTTTTTCTTTTTGTATATCCTGCTCGCGTTCCTGCGTCCGTGCCGCTACCCCCCCCCCCCTGCCAAGAAGAGATACTTCTAATCTGCGTCACACCAAAACAAAAAGGTGGCGATGCATGCTTTCACCTTTTTGTCGGCGCTGATGTGCCTCATGTTTGTTTGTGTTCATCTTGTCAGTGGTGTCTTGTCCTTTTTTGCGCTATCAAATGCACTTCAAGACGGAGGCTGCCGAACCGTGACGCGAACCGTGACGACGCTGTCCCTTGAAGCACCGACACAAACCTGTCGTGCCCTGCCACGCTCCCCTATCGCCGTTATTCCGTTTCGCTACCTACCGTACGAACGATTCTCACGCCCTTGCGGGTTGCGGCGTACGTACGTTCGGCGGGGCGGGGGCGGTCCTACTTTCCACCGCAGACGTGGAGTCCGCCGACATGTTGTCCCTCTCCGACAGCGGCATCGTGGTGATCTGCTACTTCTCCGCCGGTACCTACGAGGAATACCGCGACGACGAGGCCGACTTCCCGCGGTCCGCGCTAGGTAACCGTGTTGAGTATTACTCCGGCTCGTGGTGGATCAACATCAATGACGAGGTGCGGCGGAGGGACTACTATTGGAGTGTTGCTCGTTCCACTTGGCGGATGGTTGGTTGGTTGGATTCAGCGTCGCCCTCCCTAACGCCCAGCGCTCGACATGGAAGTCTTTGTGGAAAAAAATGGAGGATGTTGCTTTTCTTCGAGTTGCGGGCGATTTCTCTCTCAAGGGCGTTTTTTTTTTCTCTGTGGTGTGCTGGGACGCGGTGGATTATTGGCATCAACGGCGAGGTGCGGTGGAGGGACTTTGGTTGGTGGGTGATTGGATTTATTTTCGCGGGTCAACATCAACGTCGTGGTGCGGCGGCGGCGAGACTGCTGCCTGTTCGTCCAGTAGCCTTCAACAAAAACATTGACAACACATCCCCTTCGACTGTGGTATTATCTCTTTATCTCGAACTGGCAGTCTTCCTGTTATTGTACCTTTACTCGTTTTTTTTATCAACACCAACACCACCATCAACAATAACATCGACATAATTTGACTGTGGTATTATCCGATACGGGTACGTAATCTCTTCTGTGATTGTATGTACACTTTCCTAACAACAACAACAACAACAATGAACGGCAGGACATCAAGCCCGTTATGGAGGGCCGGCTAGACCTGGCTTCCGAGAAGGGGTGTGACGCGGTGGATCCGGACTTCATGGAGGTGAGAACACTCACACGCCATTCGCACTACAGGGGGTGACAAGCTCACACACCCAGAGCACTTGCAGAGATGGGAACACGCCCACACCAATCATCGCGCGACACGCCCACACCAATCATCGGGGACACGCCCACACGAATCATCGCGCGACAGAGGCTAGAACGTTCCCACATACAGAGATGAGAAACTCGCATCCTAATCGCACTACAGGGGTGACAAGCTCACACATCCGAAGCACTACAGAGATGAGAACACTCACTCACGCACCCAGAGCACTACAGCGATGAGATGGGGGAAATACGGGGGAGTTTCTTACCTCTTTCGTGCGATTGGTGTGAGAGTTTGTCACCCCTGTGGTGCGTTTGGCGTGGGAGTGTGTTCACCTCTGTGGTGCGATTGATGTTTGGAGTTTGTCACCGCTGTTGTTGCCCTTGGTGTGTTTGTCTGTCACCCCTGTCGTGTCGTTGGTATGGAAGCGTTCTAACCTTTGTCGCGAGATTATTGCAATCGCCCCAATGCGGTGGCAAACTCCCATACCGCGGGCCCTCCCACACGATGGTTATTTCGGTGTCCTTACGCCCCTCTCCCTTTAGACCCCATCTGCTCGAGTTCGCTCTCCCACCCATGCACGGCGGCACCGCAGATGTATATCTCAACCCGAGCCTCAGTATCGGGACATACATCGGGTGTGTGCTCTTGATCAGCGACGAGAAAGGACACAACCAACAGATTTTGTGCCTCGCGGACCTCTTGGTCCAAGTTTACCCTGAGCCTTTTTTTTTTTTCGCGCTGTTTCTGTCGCGGATGAAACCCAGTCGTTCAGCTTCGCGGCGAACGAAACCGGGTGGAACATCACCGCTGACGAGCAGCTGGGGTACAACAAGTGGATAGCGGACCAGGTGAGAGGAAGAAGAAGAAAGAGGGGGGGGGGGGGGGTACTCATAGTCGTGTATGCCGAAGTCGTTAGACCATTGACCTCTCATCCCCACGAAACCGGGACGGAGCACACCGGGTTCTCACCGGACCAGGCTCTCTCACATCACCCAAGCGCGAAGAACCGTGAGGTATTCGGCGAGTCGGGGGGACAATAAACACACGTGAAAATATCTCGACGATCGGTCCTGTGGGAGCAATGCTCCGTCCTCTCGAGGGACGCGTGGGTCAATCGTCTACCAGCCAAGGAATGCAAAGCATTAGAGTACGCCCCCCTCCCCCTTGATTGTCTGGGATCTCTGCCAGGCGCACGCGCGAAATTTATCGGTGGGGTTGAAGAATGACAGGCTCCAGATGGAGGAGTTGGAGCCATGGTTCGACTGGGCGCTGTCCACGGACTGCTACGTTGAGGAAGACTGCGGCGTGAGTTTTTTTTTGTTTTATGTCGTTGCTTTCGTTTTTTTTTTGTTTTTGGTCTTGGGGCTTCCCTGCCTTCCACCCTTCTTCCCTCCGACGCGCCGTCTTTGTGGTTTAGAAGTTAGATATATGGTGGAGACCACAAATTGAGAAGGGCTGGGTTTTGTTGTTCCTGCTTGTGCAGTGCGTTGCGTTTGTTGCGTTGGGGTGGGTTTGTGCTCTTTGTGTTTAGGCTGGTGACCAGCTGGTAGCACGCTATCTAGCAGCCGACCCATGAAATGATATGTAGACGTGCTTCCGTTTTCTAAGCATCGGTCATGTTGAGATGCACGGACACCGTGCAAAGGTGAGCGGCAAGAGAGCCCAAGGGGACTCCATCACCCATTAATGAAAATCACAACACTTCCCAAAACCACCCAGAGGCTCCTTGTGTCATACAGACCCCGGAGCCTCTTCACAGCTTGCCCAACGGGTAAAATGCAAACTATTTGTAGTTCCAACACCCAATACCTCCAGGAAAAGCACAATAAACAGTTGAACTATAATGCCGATGGAAAACCAACCGAGAACGCTAGGCCGATGTTCGGAAAGCCTCAACAGGACGGTGCCGCGAGGCGAGGTGCCCAGCCCCAGCTTCGACAGCAGAAGAAGTGGAACGAATTCCCCGGGGGGTTATGAGGCTAGCGGAGCGTCGTCGTAAATCGTTCGATACCTCGTCACTGCCATATGCCGTCTTCGCGGTGGCGGCCTTTTGGTCGAGACCCAGGCGTCCAACTACGAGCGGCATCCAGCGTTTAGTCTTCCTCGGGAGCATGCCGCAGACGGAGAACATTTGCCACGCCCTCCCGAAGGATCGCCGAGTACCAGAAGCCGCCCAGAATCGGACGCGTGGGTCTGGGCTTTGAAGGAGGCCATTGCGCAAGACCCTTGCCGGCGAGGCGGATGGATGTGGGCCAGTACGGACGCGGTCGGCTTACACAAGAACCCCCGGGGGATCCGTTCCTTTTCTCCTTTGGGGGGTCGGGATGCCCCTTGCGCCTTGCTGTTGGATGCACAGCGTATCCGCTATAGACTAGAAGGCAGCGCTGGCTTGTAGGCTTGGTGGATATGCTGTGCATCTGTAACGCTTTATTTCGCGGAAACACGCTGTAGCCGCTGAGGACCGGTTGAAAAGCCGGACGGGAAGAGTCCTTGTCCGTCCTGTCATTCCTGGTAAGCCGCACCAGCTTGGACTCGAACACACCCTCGTTGTCTGCGTCGGCATTTCACGAACAACCGACCTTCCGGCCCTCCTGGCAAGCCTCATTGGCTTCGACTCGAACACAGGTTTCCTGTCTGCCCTCTGCGTTTCATGGAAGCCCCGTGACCCGCCGGTACTCATGTCAAGCCGCAGCTTCCGCTGGCGTACAGGTTTGTCTGTCATCTTCCCATCGTTAATGGTGAATGATGGCGCGGTCAACAAACCTGTATTCCAGCCGGAGCTGCGACTTGACATGCGGGCCGGCTGGACAAGGACTTTTCATGAATCGCAACACAGACGATAAACCCGGTTTCGAGTCTAGACAGCGGCGTTTGCGACGAAGGTCGAGACCAAACCCAAAACACCCCCCGTGCATCAGTTTTTTTCCCAAGCCGTACCTACCAACTCAAGACACTCTCCTACATCCGATTTTCTCTTACAGCTCGTTTCTCATAACCTGGACAACCACGTTTTATTCCCGTACATCCGGACGCTCTCTGGAACAAGCTCTCGTAAAAATATAAACCCGAAGAGAAACATCTTTCGCTCTCTTTTCTACGTACTGTCTCTGAAACCATATCGTAAAACCCACAGCCTCTGCTGACTACTGTGTGTGCTCGTTTGCTTGCGTGTGTATGTATGATGGTAGTCGTTGTTGTTGTCGTTGTCCTGACATGAAAAACCGTTCCGACCTCTCTATCCAGTGCATTTATCTGTCCATACTGATCTAACACTTGACGCGGTCGATTCCGTGGTCAGGTTAACTTACCCTAAAGGGTATACTAAAATACATCGGACCCGGAGGGTCCACAAGTCAACAGAAGTCAAGAAAGAAAGACTAGAACCCTCAGCTCGCCTCTACCCGCTATGCGAGGTGAACATAGTCTGGTAGTCAACATCACGGGGGGGTAGGTATGTTCCCTGGTTCAATCTTGGTACGTCACAGAAAAAGAGAGAAGGCCAGCTAGAAGTAAAATCACAGAGAAGATAACGAAGAAGAACCGAAGAAGGAAAAGAGAATGGCACACGCCAGAACCACTACTGCTGTGACGAACAACAAACAAACCAAGGAAGACAAAAAGAATGGTTGGTGCAATGTCGCACGCGCCTTAAATATGTACGTTCTCTTCAAGAAACCGCCGCCGCCGCTACCGACTAGTTTGATTGTGTGGTTGTGGGTGGTGGCAGTCGTACGCGCCTTATTTCCGCCCTTAGATCCACACGCTCCCATAAACAGTTGCCTCTTTAAATCCCAGCCGCAACTGACGGCATCAGCTTGTTTGTGTGTTTTGCTTGTTTGGGGTGTGTGTGGTGGCAGTCATATGGGCCTTTCGTTACGGCGGGAAAGGCTGTTCTTGACGCTGAGTTCGCGGTACAAGACTTGGGCCTATGCAACGACACGCTGTGGCATCCGATCGACTTCATCGTCAAGGTGAGTGCGTGTGAAGGGGAACGGTGGATGATTGTTGCCCTTTTTGTCGTTGACGTCGTTTGTTCTTCTTGATGCTGCTGCTCCTGCTGATGGTCTGGCTGTGTTGGTGGTGGTGGTGGTTGTTGTTGCTGCTGCTGCTGATGGCCGGCTGTGTTGGTGGTTGATGTTGCTCTTTCCTCCTGCTGCTGATGGCCTGGCTATGGGTATTGTTGCCGCAGCTCCTACTGATGATGGCCTGGCTTTGGTTGTCGCTGTTGTTGCTGCTGCTTCTCGTGCTGCTTACGGCCTGGCTTTGGTTATTATTGCCGCAGCTCCTACTGATGATGGCCTGGCTTTGGTTGTCGCTGTTGTTGCTGCTGCTTCTCGTGCTGCTTACGGCCTGGCTTTGGTTATTATTGCCGCAGCTCCTACTGATGATGGCCTGGCTTTGGTTGTCGCTGTTGTTGCTGCTGCTTCTCGTGCTGCTTATGGCCTGACTTTGGTTGTTGTGGTTGTTTTCTTGGTCGGCGGTGGAAGGCGATGATGTTTCAGAACGCCCGCGCCTCTAGAGGTTCCCACTGTTGTACGTGTACCTCCCGCCCCCTCGTGTGATCAAATCCGTCCAGAGTTGTGACCCCCCCCTCCGCCCGCGTGATGGAATTAATCCTTCCAGAGTTATGAGCTGGACGAGCAGCGATGTAGCTGCGGCTTCCCGGAGACAAACTTCGAGTGCGACGAGGTCCTCGCGGCGCACGCGTCGTCGAGCAGCAGCAGCAGCACGAGCGGGGGAACAACTTCTTACACCTCCGGAGAGGGCTCCGCGGCCGGCACCGGCGACGGCGGGGAGGGGGGAGAAGGGACCCCCACGTGGGTGATCGTGACCGCGATAGCGGTAGCGGTGCTTGCGGGGATGATGGCCTACGGCGCGGTGGTGTGGAGGAGGAGACGGGGGAAGAACGAGAAGGTGGAGGGCGTGGACGATTTTTGTGGCTGATGACGATTTGATCTATCCTTTGTTGAGGCTCTTCTTTTTTTTTTTTTGGCGTGTTGTTTCTTGACGATGGATCTCGTTTGTTGGTGAGGCTTGATTTGTTTCTAGTGAGGCTGGATTTCATTCTTGTGAGAATGGACGTTTTTAGTAGGGGTGTGTTACTGGGCTGATGTTGGTGTGGAAGAGGAGAGATGGTGCGAAAAATCGGAGGGCATCGGGGCGGCGTGCTTCGTAGTTCAATGGACTTTTGGAACGATTTTCCAAAACCGGTAAGGCTGGATTTAATTGGGGTTAGGGTGAACGGTAGAGTTGTACGGTAGGACCATCACAGTGACTTTTCTTGGCGAATGGTTTGCTGGAACTCGGCGAGGCGGCGGCGTGATTAACCGAGAACCGTTGCGGGGTCAGGTGTTGCCCTGATTCTAACTCAAGCGGAATGACGCGCTGTGTAGAGGCCTCCGTGATGTGAGTGCGGCCGGCCTGGGGTGTTGGGGTCACTCACGCGGCTAGGCCTTAGCTCAGACGGGGGTAGTAGTCGCCGCGGTGACGGACGTCTCCACCAAGCGCCGATTGCATCTACGGCATGAAATAAGGTGGACACCGAACCATTGGCGCTGGTGGGGCGGACTCATGTTTTGGCATGCCTTAGCGGTTCGACCACGCGTCGAGGATTGGCACCGAAAGATTTGGCTGGAGGGGCGCATGTTTTGGGCATGCCTTTGCGTTCAGAGGACGCTTCCTCGAGAGGCAGGGTGGTGTGTAGCGTCCAGCAAATGGCTCCTTCGAGGCGCATGTTTTGCTTAACGTGGCGTTATCATTCGCCGTGCCGCTGGCTCTTGGAGGGGCGGCTCATGCTTTCTACCGGCACACGAGTAGGAAAGGCTGTATGCTTCGTCGTATCAGCATGTACAGAAGAGGGTCGTCTTGGTTACATTAGTCTTGTTCTTTGTGTACTTTGGAGGGGTGGGGTGGGGTTGGGGGGATGACACACACTTTACGATGTGGTACAATATATCTCTGCCGTCTGTCCATTGTCGAGACACTTTAAGGCCGCCGCCGGCGACATTAACATGACACAACACCCAGTGATACTGTTGAGGAAATATTGAGCGAGTCAAAACTGCGGCCGGGTTGTGGTTTCATTCGAATATCAGGAGTCTTGGTGGCTTGTGTCGCCCATTTTGCTCGGTCTATGCCGGTGCTTCCGCCATTTGAGCGTTGCCCGGATATAAAATATGATTTACCAACCAGTATTTTGACATATGTAGTCCGAGTTAACTGGTTGTCTCCGATGTGAGCACGGGGTTCCAGTGCCCTTCCGGAGAATTCGGAAGCGTTTCATGGGCGTTTTATTATCGTTTCGCCCCGGCCTTTCTCTTTTTCAGCCATAATGCAGTTTCGTCTGCATTTTGTGCCTTCATTGACTCGCGGGAAGGAGGAGCGTCGTATTCTCTCAGCCCCCCGCTTCGCGTGCGTGTTGCAAAGTGTCACGTGCAGACTCGAGAGAGTGGGCACGGACAATGCCTGAATCTGCGCGCCTGGCTTGATGCCGGCGCATGTTGTGAAATGTCTGCTACTCTGTTTTTTGACGGGGGAGCGGTCAGTCCGGTAGTACTCTATGGGTTTCCGTAAGTCTTGCCGTTCGTTGGGGCCTGCGTGATTCGCATGGATGTGGGGATGACGTGGAGTATTGGGGGTAATTTATTGGACGACATGTGGTTGGGTTTGTTTCTGTTGGCACGAGGGTTGCTTGTTCATAGCAGGGGGGATTGTCGTACATAGTAGTCCGGGGAACGGGAGGATGAAATTGAATGAATCACGGTAGGTAATCGTGTACCAATTTCAGTGAAAAGCGTGTAGTCGGGGGGTGCAAGAACGTTTGAAGCACCACTGGTGGTTGAGTATCCACAACAAGCTTGCTCGCTTTCATGTTTACAACGCTTCAGCTGTGACATACCGAAACAGGCTAGGAGTTTATTGGGTATCACAGACGGTAGGAATTCGATGGCCCGGGCGACATGCAGGCCGTCATGTCGCCGAGAGCACACGACCCGATGCTGAGGCGGCCCCACCCACTTCATTCCCGAACCCCCCCGTTTGCATTTTCATCCTGCCGTGGAGCATCCATGCACTAGACAGCAGGGTGCTGAGGCTTTCTGGCCGTAGGCGGTGAATGAACTATTGGGATCCGGGTCATTCCGGCTGCTTGCCATGTGGTGTCAGGTTTTGATACAAACGATCGAGCGTTCTAGTGCGCACGCATCGTCGGAGAAAAAGTGATTTTTCTTGCGTTGTTGCGTCTCACCATCACACTTACGTAGAAGCTACCATTGTCGCCGCGCGTCCCAAAGAAAGGTGGGTGCTGGTTGTGTGGTACCACCAACTATGCGTACGAGGACGTCTTGAGGGAAGGTTGCTTGAGACCGTTCCACTCCTAAGTGGTCCAGCAAAAAAAAATCAAACGGATGCACCCAAGGATGGGGTGGACCTCAGTCCGGCAGCGCAGTAGGCAAACGATCCTCTGTACGGAGACACCAGAAAAAGACACAGTAAGAACGCCGTCATGTGCCGCCAAACCTTTTCCTACGACCGTTTGGAAATAAATATTACCGCCGTGAGCTGCGCAACTTATACACGGGACAGACGGCTCCAACACTTGAGAAATTTCGTGGAACTTTCATTCCCCACAAATTCATTCCCCAGATGAGAAACTTGGTGGAAATTTCATTCCCATGATGAAAAACTTCGTGGAAAGTTCGTCCCCCAAACGCCAAACAAGGCGTCCCTGACAATTTCACTCCCGTTCCTTTCGGGGTCTTGCACAAAATACAGTAAGGCGTGTTGAATAGTTTCAAATAAAAGCGTTCTCTGGTTTCGAAAACAAGTCTATGTTTTCTGTTGTCGCGTTGGTTCGGTGCCATATCCTCTGTTACATGTCACAGAGGGTCCACTCGTTGCTCGCAGCCTATCTTGGACAGGGACTTATCTCCTCCCCCGCACCCAAGCTAGAAACACGGCCTTCTCGTTGCCTGCCCTCCGCACACGGTCCGAGACGGCGGTGTACCCCGAAATCAACGACCTTCGACAGCAAACCTCTTCTCCGTCCATCCCAAGCAGCAACACGTGCGTCTAGGAAGGTATCGCCAAAGCCAAGCCCCCATACAGCTACACCCCAACAGTTTTGTCTACTGAAAACACCGAGAGGCTACATTGCGATTCATCCTCGCTCGGCGTTTGGAAGACCCCCACCCTGCACGAGGTTTACCGCAGGCGGGAACGCAGGCCGCCGCGAGAGCTGTGATTTCCACCGGCCGCTGCTGCGGCCGGCCCTAGCGCCTGCTCCCCGTCGTCCACCCCTAAAGTTGTTGTCGAGCCACCAGGTCAGGCACCGAATGTCTAGGAGGCACACCTGGGGGATGACGGCGACCCCAAGGATGGCGGCGGGGGGGGGGGGGGGTTGTAGCCCCCGTTTCCGAAGTGAACACATCACTAGTTCAGTTCGCGACAAAACATCGGCAGAGGCGGCGGGGTGACTGTAGTTGTTGCGCTTCCTTCGAACCGACTCGCCAATTTACCCGCCCTCGGCAAATCAACCCAAGGTATACCTGGTTTGGCACAGCAAAAGCAGGAATGATGACTAGGTAATCTCATCCTTTGTGAAACATAGCCTGGGGCGCCGGCGTAAACCCCGGCACATCGCTCCGTCCCGGCATTTGCAGGGATGCAAAGAGACCAATGGTCCAACGACTACGGCATGCGTTCACATGAGTACAGGCCCCCCTCTCTCGGCCGGCGAAAACCCGGACGTGTCGCTCCGTCCCGGCATGCGAGGTCTACAATATGGCATGCGATAAAATGAGAGCAGCCCCCCCTCCCCCCCTGCAGTCTTCGCACCTGTATTTGTGGAAGCGACAGGGGGTCGCCTCCTGATCCTTCCGTCACGTGCGAAGTCACCGCGGCTGCTGCAGAGGAAGAACCTCCGTGTCCACTTGTCTTCTTCGCCTTGTTCGCGGCATCGGATTGCAGGGAAAGCTGCGAGTTCGGGAAGAACGGACGGGAGACGGGGGAGCACCGATGTCGGTGGGAGGTACAACGAACTTTAGATTGGCGATCAACGACTACGCCACAAGGCGCGCTTCCGGAGTGGGCTGGCACATCAGAGCACCGTAGTCCTCGAAGCGTGATGCAAGTTGCAAGCAAAGCATGTGTTGGTGCGGATCAACGGCCAGCTGCCATAAGCTCGAGCAGCTCACGCAGTTGACGCGCACGAAGAGCCCAGCAAACCTTGACCACCACAAAAAGAAAAAATACAATTCTGTAACATACATTCATACTACCAAAAAAAAACGTCTTCACCGCCCAGGTAAGATCACGTCCGAACGGGGGAGGGGCACAAGCCAAAGGAACAAGGTGCGGGGGGGCATACCACCGGTATCGACTTCACGGGGCCGCCAACGAGGACGGGACGGGGTGGTTTCCGACGTAGGTACGCAACATCGTTGGCTACGGAAGCTGCGCGAAATCGTCATCGCGTGCCGCCCTAGCATCAAAATTTCCCTCCACACATCTCTATCACCGACAACAAAACGACGGAACAAGAGCTGAAAAAAAAGGGGGGGGGGGGGGGGGGGGGGGGGGACCCCGCGGGCCCCCCCCTTCGGGGGGCAAAAGGGGGGGGGGAAAACCAACCCTTTGGC